TAGTGTCCTCATCTGAGACACAAGGTCATTAAGTGCCTGTGCTAAACCATGGTTTTCAACTGGCATCATTATCACCTTCCCCTAATCTTCTCCACATCCACAGAGAAGAATCGCAGAACTGCATTTCCCAGAAGCCCTTTCACCACAGGTGCCCAGGTGAGTGTCTAACAGTGAAAGGGAAGAAGTCAGGATTCTCCAGCAGCAGTCCCTGGTAGAAGGATAGTTAGACTCTCAGGTAAAGGTCTATGGTAGAAAGTGGGTGTGACTTTCTGAGAACCTCCAGGTAAGCCCTGCACGTCTCCATTAGTGCTCCCAGGTGAGAACTTTGCAATGGCTTCACTGGCATTTGTGGGCACCTCCTCAGGAATGTATTACTAGGTGTTAATATCTTCCTTTGAGAAAAGAGTTCTGTTTTCAATAAGTGGCGATGACGACCCTGAATATCCATAGCAGCTGCCTGTCACGCTGCTCCAGGGGCTTGGAGGCCTCGCGGCTCCGCTGATCCCAGTGCTGGGAGGCCTCGCTGCTCCGCTGATCCTGGTGCTGGGAGGCCTCACAGCTCTGCTGATCCCGGTGCCAGGAGGCCTTGCTGCTCCACTGATCCCGGTGATGGGAGGCATATTACCCTTTACTATATAGTATAGAGGCCTGGTGCATGGGTGGGGGCCAGCTGGTTTGCCCTGAAGGGTGTCCTGGATCAGGGTGGGGGTCCCGCTTGGGTGCCTGGCCAGCCTGGGTGAGGGGATGATGGCTGTTTGCAGCTGGTCACACCCCCTTCAGGGTGGGGGTCCCCACTGGGGTGCCTGGCCAGTCTGGGTGAGGGGCTGAGGGCCGTTTTCAGGCTGGCTGGTGACTGAAGCTCCCAACCTCTCCTTTTTTACTTTTTTTTTTAATTCTGGGATTCATTTACCTTCTATGCCTGTCACTGGAGCTGAGAGCCATCTTTAACTCTGAGGCTCGGCTCCACCTCTGAGACCTCGGCTGCTGAAAGCAGGTTTCTGGGCTTTGTTTACCTTCTGTATTTGAAACTTTGTTGCGACTCCAGCTCTGAGATCCCTGCTGACTGAAAGCAGGTTTCTGGGGATTGTTTAGCTTCTATATTTGCAACAATGTTTCTTAGAGAGCAGCTCAGAGCCCAGCAGCGGCAGGCGGGGAACATTGGCTTCCTCCGTCACTGGAGCAAGCAAGCCTCCTGTTCGCTTCAGGGGCCTGGCTGCCGGCCGCCATCTTGGTTGGCAGTTAATTTGCATATCTTGCTGATTAGCCAATGGGAAGGGTAGCGAAGTTATGGTTAATTACCATGTTTCTCTATTATTAGATAGGATAACATACAGTGAGTAGTAAATTAATATCTTAATGCCAGAGAATTGTCAGTCTTGACTTCCCCCCCCCAAAGAATGCTGTCTTCTTTTGTATCTCCCATCTTTTGTGCCTCCCAAGTAGGTACCCATTTAATAGTGATACTGTTGTGACTCTGTTGAGTATCTGTGAATCTGAGAGCTCATACTGATGTGGAGAAGAAGGGTGGGGAGGAGAGAGCATCATTTCAATGCTAGAGTCTATGTAAAATACTTAATACATGTTATTTAGTTGCACTAAGCACTCAAATCCAGACTTGATTAGGAGAAAGGAATATAGCTTTGGTTGGTGTGGCTCAATTGGTTGGGCATTGTCCTATGCACGAAGAGGTTGCTGGTTCGATCGCTAGTCAAGGGCACATGTCCTGTTGCTGGCTCCATTCCTGGTAGGGATTGTATAGGAGGCAGCCAGCCAGTGTTGCACTCTCACATCATTGGTTCTCTCTCTTCCTTTCCCTTCCTCTCTCTCTAAAACTCAATAAACTATTTTTAAAAATATATACCATACTTTTTTTAAAAAAAAGAAGAAAGAATCCAGGGCAAAAAAAAGGTTGCCATTATTTTCCAGATATCATTTGGGAACTTTGCATTCATTTCAGACAATCTGTGGATGGCACCTGAACCCCAGCCTTGGGTTTTTTCACTGGTTGTCTGATGTGATCTTTAGTAATTGTGACCTGTGTTTTGGGGTCTTTTTTCCCTTCCTGGTCCATTTCCCTCTAGGGTGTCAACGTGTGGGCTTTGGTAGCAGCCATTGTTCTCCTCTCCAGTAGTGTGAATGACATCCAGCAGTTACTCTTCTGCTTCAGAAGACCAAGCTCCACTGTGACAATGCCAGACATCACTGAGACCTTATACTGCATCGCTGTGCTTCTCTATGCCATGAGGGAGAAGGGAATCAACATCAGCAATCGGTAAAGTGGTGGGAGGGAGAATGAAAACTCCGATAGAGTGAAAGATCCTAGACATGCAACAAGTCCCAGCTCTGCCACTTGCACACTAGGCAAGCCATAAAACTCACACAGCTCAGTTTTGTTATCTAGTGAGGAGAGACAGATACTGCATAAGTAAATATGTTAAACAAGAACATTTTACTGAGTGATTAGTAGTGCAAAGAAAAAAAAACAGAGTGATAGGCAAGGGAAATGAGGAGTACTACCTTAGATTGGGTGAGAAAAAGCTTCTCTGAGGAAGTAACATCTGAATTGAAACCTGAATGTCAGGAAGAGCTGGCCATTTTTGTGGGGAGAGCATTTTAGCAGAAGGAATAGATAACTTAAGGGCCCAAAGATGGGAATGGATTTAGTATATACAAAGAACAGAGAAGTTTAGTGACAAGTATGTGGTGAATAAGAGGGAAACTGGTATATGATTATGAGAAGTCTGCAGTGACCAGATGAAGGAAAATGTTGTGTAGACCATGTAAGGAGTTAGAGTGAAATTTAAGGTATGAAGCGCAGCTCCTGGAAGGCCCTGGCATGGAGATAGGCAGTATGACAGTGCAGAAGATCCAGGAGAACCAGATGTTCTAGAGAGGATATTCGGATTTCCTTTCTGGAATTAGTGAGACTTAGGAGGAACAAGGGACAGCACTAGGTGAACTGTGGCCCAGTCAGTCATGGTAAAGTTCAAGGATGGAACATTTAGTCTCCAGGAATGTCAGAGTATTTGCTGTGTTTCTGAGATACATTTCAATTCATTCATTAAATATCGCTTATGTTGTTCCCACTCCATGGCATTGAGATGTGGAAGAAGGAGCTTCATGACATAATTCAGACAAGACAAATACACAAATGATGAATAATGACCATAAATGCAAATATGAACCTATAAATTATCTGCACGTTTACATGAACCTAGATGAGGAATGGGAAACATGTATGTTGTGTTTATATTATTTTTTTCCTGCTTTACCTGGGAGGTAATTTTTTATTTTTCCACTTGTAGCAAGGATTGCTATCAAATTCCATTCATTGGGCTAGAGACCCTTGTGGTGTAAGTGAAAAACTTGCCCCTCACATACACTTGTGAGTTCATTATTCTCAACTCCAAGCTCTAACAGTATACAGTCCTGGGAGATAATATTTTTTTATTTTTATTTTTATTGATTTTATTATTTATTTATTTATTTATTTATTTTTTATTGCTTAAAGTATTACAAAGGGTATTACATATGTGTCCTTTTTTTCATTTTTATTGATTTTAGAGAGGAAGGGAGAGGGGGAGAGAGAGAGCTAGAAACATCAATGATGAGAGAGAATCATTGGTTGGCTGCCTCCTGCACACCCTCCACTGGAGTTCGAGCCCGCAACCCAGGCATATGCTCTTGACCGAAATGGAACCCAGGACCCTTCAGTCCGCAGGCCGACACTTTATCCACTGAGCCAAAACAGCTAGGGCCTGGGCGATAATCTTAACGTGACCAGAGACTGAAATGTTATTTAGTCTAAATGTTATTTAGTCTCTCTCTAAAACTCAATAAACTATTTTTAAAAATATATACCATACTTAAAAAGTACTTAAAGAATCCAGGACAAAAGAAATCTTAATGTGACCAGAGACTGAAATGTTGTATTATTAAAAATATTTGTTTCATCAAAAAGATTGATGCGTGGAGATCACCTGTTCTCACTCCAGGAATGGGGAGCAATGCACTAAATGTTGGGCAATTGGTGATAGAAAGAGATGAGTTTGGGCTCATGTGAACATAAGAGAGATTTGGAGTGACTTGTGATGGGACATGTTTAACCATGTCCAGTGCCTCTGTTGAGTGCACTGTGTTGTCTTTGGTTCTTATTGGTGACTTGGAGGATTTTTTTTTATTTTATTTTATTTTTATTTTTTATTAGTTAAGGTATTACAAATGTGTCCTCATCCCCCCATTAACCCCCAACCTCCCACCCCCCCACACACTCATGCTCCCATCCCCCTGTTGTCCATGTCCATTGGCTTGGCTTATATACATGTATACAAGTCCTTCGGTTGATCTCTTCCCCTTACCCCCACCCTCCCCTACTTTCCTTCTGGGGATTGATAGCCTGATCGCTGTTTCTCAGTCTTTGGATCTGTCCCTTCTCATCAGTCTATGTTGTTCTTTATAATCCACAAATGAGTGAGATCATGTGGTATTTATCTTTCTCTGACTGGCTTATTTCACTTAGCACAATGCTCTCCAGTTCCATCCATGCTGTTGCAAAAGGCAAGAGTTCCTTTTTTTTACCGAAGCATAGTATTCCATTGTGTAGATGTACCACAGTTTTCTAATCCACTCATCTGCTGATGGGCACTTAGGCTGTTTCCAAATCTTAGCTATGGTGAATTGTGCTGCTATGAACATAGGGGTGCATATATCCTTTCTGATTGGCGATTCTGGTTTCTTGGGATATATTCCTAGTAGTGGGATCACTGGGTCAAATGGGAGTTCCATTTTTAGTTTTTTGAGGTAGCTCCATACTGTTCTCCACAGTGGCTGCACCAGTCTGCATTCCCACCAGCAGTGCAGAAGGGTTCCTTTTTCTCCACATCCTCTGACTTGGAGGATGTTTTGTTTTCTAGTTCTTGGTAATCATATCTTGTTACCTGTGTAGCACCCTTCCTTTGGAACCTTAAAAGATAGAAAGTGCTTCATGCTTCTAAACCAATATCACCTCACAGGGAGCAACGGAGGCTCACAAAGATAAGATTACGTTACATTGATGTTGAACAAGAATCTCACTAGGAGTGGAATTTACATTTGTTTTCAACTAATTCATACTGTTTTTGTGATTATTTGTCTCTATGGTCATAGCTAATGCCTTTTCCCCAAAGAGCATGCCCTGGTCTCTGTCCTTTTGCCATTGCACTCTGGAGCCAGGGTCTTTTCCAGAACTGTGCTCTCTAAGAGGGCTTTGGTCAGCTCTAGGTATATTTAAATTATTTTATTTCCTTCTTATCATAAAATGGTGGTAGTTTTTTATTTTTATTTTTATTTTTTGGAAATGGTAAAGAATCTAAATACAATGCAGGAAAAATAAGATACAGATTATGATTTAATTTGATATTCTCTATATCTGCTTTTTCCTTGTTAGGATTCATTACAACATCTTCTATTGCCTGTATCTTCAGGAGAATTCTTGTACTCAGGCCACAGAAGTTAAAGAGGAAACATCGGTTTGGCCAGGGTATGTATATAGATAAGTAAGAGAGAGAGAGGGAGAGAGGTTTTCCATTCTTGACTCTTTCTCATACTTACGGAGGAGAGGTGTTTTGTTTTAACAATTTTATTGAGGTATAATTTACATAAAATTCACCCATTTTAATTTTACAATTCAGTGATTTTTAATAATATTACTGAGTGTGCAATCAATATCATAATCTAGTTTTAGAACATTTTTATCACCCCAAAGGGAGATCTTTTCTTTGATTAAATTTTGTTCATCTGATTTGCCTGTTTGGTTCTTGATAGTCTATCACCTGGTCTTTTCAATTCCATTGTGTTTTTCTAATTTCTCTTCTGTAATGATTGTAGCAGGAAAACAACCATCCAACTTACACATGAACAACAGCTGATTCTGAACCATAAGATGGAACCTCTCCAGGTGGTAAAAATTATGGCATTTGCAGGTAAGGGAGCTCGCCAATACTGGAATAGAGAGTCAGGTTCTTGACTTATCACTGCATCTCCCTTCTCTATTACCTGCCAGAGTATCTTTACCTGGATTTGTTATTGAACTACTTCAATGAAATAATCTAAAAAGGAGTTGCCAAGTAAATCTTGGTTTCTCTTACCACACCGGGGAGCATACACATTCCTGGTGAGACAAATAGTTCATAGGAATTAGTTTGCAGAGTAATTGCCAAAGGGATTGATCCAACCTGTCATTTATCATCATATATGCTCAATCACTGATTGCTTATGGACTGGCAGGTCACATTGATCTCCTTTCAGAGTTTCAGTAGCTCCTGATTTCTGTTGGGTGAAGTCTAGAAGGCCCTTCCACCGTTTGGTTCTAACCTACACTCCTAAATATATTGTTGACTCTTCTCATGCCTCAGTCAGCTCATTGTCCTTACAGTTTCTTAAAGTACTTAGTGATTCTTTTGTCTGAACCTTTGGTCATGCTATTTTTCTACCTGGAATTTCTTTCCATTTTTTTTCTGCCTACATATCTTACTAAAAACAACAATAGCCATTTCTTAAATGCCTGTCATGTGCCTGGCACTGTGATAATCCTAACAGCATTCTGTAAGGTTGGTTAGTTATCTCTGTTTTATAGATGAGGATTTGAAGCTCAGAGAAATTAAGATTACTAGTCCTAGGTTAAATAAACAAATAAGTGATAGAAGTAGAATTACTAGGTGTACTGGTTAATAATGCGGATTTTTTTCAATGGAGTTACACATATGTTGCTATATATGCGATTTGATATGTATGCTGTTTTGTTGAATTGCTCCTTCAGATTACCACTTGTTCCGATCGATGGCACACATACTTTCTGAGCAGTACTTCCAAACATACAAAGAGGTGGAAAATTGGGTCTCTGAATGGTCTGCCTCAAAACAAGAAAATTTCTATTGGGACGGTATCCACAAATTACCTGAAAGATGGGGAAATGTGTAGCTAGCGGTGGACATTACTTTGAATAATGCACTTTTGATGTTTCTCTTAAAATTATTGTGTTTTGTTTGGACTACAAAATCCGCATTATTAGCCGGTTAATAGTTACTCTGTATTATTAACCAGTTAATAATTAATCTGCCTTTTAACTGGTTAATAGTTAATCCTCATCATTAACTGGTTAATAATTAATCCATATTATTAATCGGTTAACAGTTAGTTAATCCGTGTTATTAACTGGTTAATAATTAACCTGCATCATTAACCAGTTAATAATTAATCTGTACTACTAACCAGTTAATAATACGGATTTTCTTGTTTTGAGGCAAACCATTCAGAGACCCAATTTTCCATTTCTTCGTACGTTTTGAAGTGCTGCTCAGAAAGTGCATGTGCCATTGATTGGAACAAGTGGTAATCTGAAGGAGCAAGGTCTGGTGGATACAGTGGGTGGGTTAATATTTCCCAGGCAGGATCTTTTAACGTGTCTTTAACAGATTTTGAAGTGTGTGATGGTGCGTCATCATGAAGCAAAATTATTTGCTGTGTCTTCTGGCCCATTCTGGTCATTTTACGATCAAAGTGGTTCAGATTGTGATTATTTGTTGTCAGTAGTGATTAACAGTTTCACCCGGTTTTAGAAGCTCATAATACACCACACCTTCCTGATCCCACCAAACGCAGAGCATTGTCTTCTTTCCAAAGCAATTTGACCTTTCAGCTGATGTTGATGATTGACCTGGATCAACCCATGATTTTGTGCGTTTGGGATTCTCAAAATAAATCCACTTTTCATTGCCATTCACAATTTGATGCAAAAAAGACTTTTGTAGCATTGAAGCAACATTTTACTGATGACTTTTTGATTTTCCATTTGTCTTTTGTTCAGTTGATGTGGCACCCATTTTCCTTCCTTTAAAACAGTGGTTCTCAACCTTGGCTGCACATTAGAATCACCTGGGAATCTTTTTAAAATCCTGATTTCTGGGCCTCATCCTCCAGAAATTCTGTTTCTTTGTTACTAATATTGTGGCCCCACCCCATAACAAAGAAACAGAATTGGGAAAACAGCAAGATGGCGGCATAGGTAAACACCGGAGACTGCTGCCGCAAACAACCACTTCAAAAATACAACTAAAAGATGGAACGGACATCACCCAGAACCACAGGAAGGCTGGCTGAGGAGAGACTCTTCAACTAGAAGGAAAGACAACAGCATACCAAGGCTCAGAGGAAGCGCAGTGTGGAAAATATAAAGGTGCGGAGGTGCGCGCACAAAGCGGGCTGGTGGCTGAGGGCGCGGTTGTCGTTTTCAATCGGGAGGGAGTCTCAGACTCTGAGCTCCAGATCCGGGCGAGTCTCTAGGGACTCAGACTCAAACGGGAGAAGCGGGATTGTCTGGCATCAGTTGGAACGTGAGGGCAGCTTTCTCTCCGAAGTTTGCAGCGATTGCTGGGGTTCTGAGAAGCAGAGCCTCTGGGAACGGGACTGAGAGCAGCCATAACTGCTCCCTCCGCCCGCCCTGTTGATCCCGTGCAACCCGCCCCGCCCAAGCCTTGCGCAGAGCCATTTGCCGGATAGCCTCAGGCAAAGGCTAGATTAGCACCTCTCCAGAGGACAGAAGTTTTCCCACAGCAGACACAGGTGATTCTCACAGCCAGTCGGCCTGGTGGTCAAATCCCTCTAGTATTAACTACAACAATCAAGGCTTAACTAGAACAAGACTGCGCACAAAGACCACAAGGGGGTGCACCAAGAAAGCATAAAAAATGCGGAGACAAAAAAACATGACAGAAATGGAGGATATAGAGCTAAAAAACACACTTTTGAGGGCTTTTAATAATGTGCTAGAAGCTGCCAATAAACTTGATGAGACCCTCACGAAATCTAATGAGACCCTCACGAAATCTAATGAGACCCTCGATGCTGTGATAAAGAACCAACTAGAAATTAAGCATACACTGACTGAAATAAAGAATATTATACAGACACCCAATAGCAGACCAGAGGAGCGCAAGAATCAAGTCAAAGATTTGAAATGCGAAGAAGCAAAAAACACCCAACCAGAAAAGCAAAATGAAAAAAGAATCCAAAAATACGAAGATAGTGTAAGGAGCCTCTGGGACAGCTTCAAGCGTACCAACATCTGAATTATAGGTGTGCCAGAAGATGAGAGACAGCAAGATATTGAAAACCTATTTGAAGAAATAATGGCAGAAAACTTCCCCCACCTGGTGAAAGAAATGGACTTACAGGTCCAAGAAGTGCAGAGAACCCCAAACAAAAGGAATCCAAAGAGGACCACACCAAGACACATCATAATTAAAATGCCAAGAGCAAAAGACAAAGAGAGAATCTTAAAAGCAGTAAGAGAAAGAGACTCAATTACCTACAAGGGAATACCCATACGACTGTCAGCTGATTTCTCAACAGAAACTTTGCAGGCCAGAAGGGAATGGCAAAAAATATTCAAAGTGCTGAATACCAAGAACCTACAACCAAGATTACTTTATCCAGCAAAGCTATCATTCAGAATTGAAGGTCAGATAAAGAGCTTCACAGATAAGGAAAAGCTAAAGGAGTTCATCACCACTAAACCAGTATTATACGAAATGCTGAACAGTATCCTTTAAGAAGAGGAAGAAGAAAAAGGTAAAGATACAAATTGCGAACAACAAACATGCATCTATCGACAAGTGAATCTAAGAATCAAGTGAATAAATAATCTGATGTACAGAATGAACTGGTGATTATAATGAATCAGGGACATAGAAAGGGAATGGACTGACTATTCTTGGGGGTGGGGGAAGGGGAATGGGAGATGTGGGAAGAGACTGGACAAAAATCGTGCACCTATGGATGAGGACAGTGGGTGGGGAGTGAGGGCAGAGGGTGGGGCGGGAACTGGGAGGAGGGGAGCTATGGGGGGGTGGAAAAAAGAGGAACAAATGTAATCTGAACAATAAAGATTTAATAATAAAAAAAAAGAAACAGAATTTCCAGAGGATGAGGCCCAGAAATCAGGATTTTAAAAAGATTCCCAGGTGATTCTAGTGTGCAGCCAAGGTTGGGAACCACTGTTTTAAAATCTTTCCCATTGCTTGTAAATGATTGGAAATTGTTTTGCTGAGCAATGTTTAATCTTTCTGCAAGTTGTTTTTGAGTTTGACAGACATTTTCATCCAATAATATTTGTAATTGTTGGTCTTCAAACTCTTTTGGTTGGCCTGGATGTTCTTTGTCTTTTTTTTTTTTTTTTTAATATATTTTATTGATTCCTTACAGAGAGGAAGGGGGAGGGATAGAGAGTTAGAAACATTGATGAGAGAGAAACATCGATCAGCTGCCTCTTGCACACCCCCTACTGGGGATGTGCCAGCAACCAAGGTACATGCCCTTGACCAGAATCAAACCTGGGACCCTTGAGTGCCCAGGCCGACGCTCTATGCACTGAGCCAAACCCATTAGGGCTGTTCTTTGTCTTTTACATCAAAATCATCACTTTTAAAGCGTTTAAACCAGCATTCACAAATATCTTGAGATGGAGCATCTATACTAATAAGAGAGTAATATGCTAATTAGACCCAGAGACCTTCCAGACAAAGCTGGGCGGTTGGCCAGCCTGCAAACCACCCCCAAATGGCCCTCAGCCCCTCGCCCAGGCCGGCCATGCCCCCCAGCTGGGACCCTCACCCCAACGGGGGCATGGCCAACGTGCAAACAACCCTCAGCCCCTAGCCCAGACCATCCATACCCCCCAGCCGGGACCCCCACCCTGAAGGGGGTGTGGCCAGCCTGAAAACAGCCCTCAGCCACTCACCAGGCTTGCCACGCCCCCCAGTAGGGAACCCCCACCCCGATATGGGGGTGTGGCCAGCTTGCAAACAGCCATCAGCCCCTCGCCCAGGCCAGCCACGCCCCTCAGTGGGGACCCTCACCTTGATGGGAGTGTGGTCAGCCTGCAAATGGCTGTCAGCCCCTCACCCATGCTGGCCATGCCCCGCAGCAGGGACCCCCACCCCAATGGGGGCTTGGCCAGCCTGCTCCCACCCGTGCAACAGGCCTCTATCTTCTATACCAGTGATGGCGAACCTTTTGAGCTTGGCATGTCAGCATTTTGAAAAACCCTAACTTAACTCTGGTGCCGTGTCACATATAGAAATTTTTTGATATTTGTAACCATAGTAAAACAAAGACTTAAATTTTTGATATTTATTTTATATATTTAAATGCCATTTAACAAAGAAAAATCAACCAAAAAAATGAGTTCGCATGTCATCTCTGACGTTCGCCATCACTGTTTTATACTAATAAAAGGGTAATATGTTAATTAGACTGGGAGACCTTCCAGACGTCCTTCCGGACAAAGCCATGGTGGTGGGGCCAAGGCAGAGGCGGTTAGGGGCGATCAGGCCATGAGGGGAGGGCAGTTGGGGGTGAGCAGGTGTTGGGGTCCAACCCCAACGGGTCCAGGGATCCCCAAAGGTGTGGACGGAGTCGGCGAAGAATGAATGACATGGAAACTGGGTTCAGTTCATCAGCATAGCGAGGTTCTCCCTCCAGGATCCCCAGCCAAGTTTTGTCCAAGATCTCCAACCAAGTTCTTGTGCCATGTTCTCTCGCTAGGTTCTCCAGCCAGGTTCTCCAGGTTCTCCAGCCAGGTTCAGTCACCAGGTTCTTTAGCCAGGTTCTATCCAGGTTCTTTTGCCATGTTCTGTCTAGGTTCTCCAGTGAAGTTCTGTAGCCAGGTTCTGTCCAGGATCTTTTGCCATGTTCTCTGGCTAGGTTCTGGTGAGGATCTGATGAGGATCTGATCAGGTTGTGTTGTTTATTGTCTTGTTACATCCGTATTTATACCAGCTGATTTTAATCCTGTCAATTTCTATTACAAAGGTTAGGGCGTTTCTTATCTCCATTCCAGGGAGTAAAGATTATGTAGCTTAACTACCCGCCTGGCACTTAATTAAGGGGTTGTATCCCCTCCCTAACCTCAGGGAAAGATCCCCACCTGGGGAAACAACCTTTCTCGGAGAGGTGACCTTGGTCAAAACACATGGCACTAAGGAGAGCTACGGTTCAGACCACTCTCTCATATAGGTCGGGTTTGTGCAAAACATTATCCACTTAGAGGTTTCTTCTCCGCAGCAAGGATGGGCTGGTGCGCCGGCATACACGGTATCACCGGGGTGCCAGTCCGTGGCCGAGTCTACCCGACAGAGGGGGGCAGTAGGCGGTGGTCAGGCCGGTGGGGGGGGGAAGTTGGGGGCAAGCAGGCCAGCAAGGGGGGGGGCAGTTGGGGCCTAGCAGGCCAGCAGGCAGAGTGGTTAGGGGCAATCAGGCAGGCAGGCAGGTGAGCGGTTAGGAGCCAGTGGTCCCGGATTGTGAGAGGGATGTCCCAGATTGGAGAGGGTGCAGGCCGGGCTGAGGGGCAACCCATCCCCATGCACAAATTTTGTGCACCTGGCCACTAGTGTTCACCATAAGCTTCCCAAAATATATGATAACTTTCAGCAGTACTTTTCTTCAAAATAAAGTAATGAATTAAAACTTCCCGCAAATGCTCTTTTTTTGGCACAAAATTTGACATTTTAGCGTAAAAATATCTATGATGTTAACACCTTTAGAAAATTTGACATATGAAGTTTTGAAGCTTGTTGTCAATACAACAAAATAGCATACATATCAAATCGCATATATATCAACATATGTGTAACTTCGTCTATTGAAAAAAATCCGAATTATTAACCGGTACACTTAGTAAAAGCTGGATCTCTTTCTAAAAACCAGCCTTTTTCCTCTTCCTTGCCTTCACCCCCTCCCTCCCCTTATTCTTTGCTGTATTGACTCCCATCATTTCTGATTCTTCTTAATGGAGGCTTCTTTAGTCATTTGAGTCCTATATGATCTCTGAACTCTTACCTATAGCTAATTATACTTATTAACTGTTTGGTACCTGATTATATAGTAGGAATAGCCAACACGCACACTTTATAAATACTACACTGTGTCATTCATCTTCAAAATAGCCCTATAAGGTTGGAAATGGGGCACTATTTTTCTTTTCTTTTTTGACAGGTGAGATTTTTTTGTTTCCAAATCCATATTCTTTCTCACTTTACTGTGTTATCATTATACTCTTGTTTTGTTCTAATTGTTTCAACTGTATTGGTATTTTATTTCCAACTAGATTATATTGTAGGAACCTTGCTTCATGTTTTTTGATGTACTCCTAGTACTTAGCATATAACTGTAAATGAACATATAGTAGGTACTCTACTCAAATAAATACTTTTTAAATGAATGACAGTTGACTAACTGAATGATTGAATGACTGGTAGAGAGGTAGGGCAGACAAGAGAGTTCAGAATGAATCTCATTTATATGCTCTTACCATTGAAGCATTAATGAGTCCTAGGCCAGCCATAGTTACCATTTATTGCATTCTGCTGTTATTTTTATTATCTTTATCGTGCCTGACTCTACTGTTACTCATTCATGGCTGAGAAGCACACTGAAGTTCATTGAGACCAAGTGGCTTGTACTTCGCTTCTCAACTAACAGAGCCATGATTCCAACACAGCTTAATCTGGCTTAGAATCTGCTGTTCTTTTCACTATACCGTTGTTTATTTTTATCAGTATTAGAAAACTTGTCACTGTTTAGTCTTAAGCAAGAGGCAAGATAAATGTGGATAAAACTTGATTAAAGCATTCTTTGGAACATTTTTTTCTGGACAGAGGGTCATTTCCTTTCCTTTTGGCTTCCCCAGGCACTGGGAAGACATCCACCTTGGTCAAGTATGCTGAAAAGTGGTCTGGGAGCAAGTTTCTTTATGTGACATTTAACAAGAGCATCGCAAAGCAGGCCGAGCGAGTCTTCCCCAGCAATGTCACTTGCAAAACCTTTCACTCCATGGCGTATAGACAGGTTGGGCGGCAGTGAGTATTGTGTTGCCACCATTATTATTATGTCTAATTATTGTTTTCATGTTGCAGTTATCATGATCACATATGGACTTACACCATAATGGCACTAAGAAAATTGAATGCTTTTATCTCCATTTATAGACAGGAAATAGAAAGATAGATGTAGTGATTTATACTTTTACCTGATAAAAATACACTGTTTACAAGTAATGTCTAAGGTTAGGCAATCTCTCTCATTTATCTGGAACTGAAGCACAGAAAGTCAGGATGACTTGTCTAGAGTTCAGAATATTAGCAGTAGGATTGGCCAGTTTTAGGGTTACCTTGGAACCGGGCAAGAGGGAGAAGACTAAGCTGAGGTGCAGTTGGCCCAGGTCTCTTGAGGCCTCTGAATCAGCATTCCCTTGGATATGAAGGCTTCAAGGAACTTTGAGTTTCCCTACTTAGGGGCCTCTTGGAGTTTGGTCTG